CTGAAGTCCACACATCTTCAAGTTGCCAAGGTTGAAAAACACTGCTGTAGAGCATACCTCTTCTAACATTTAAAACCATGTATTAGCGACAGAGCTGCAGGTCTCAATTATGGTCGTTAAACAAGGACTACTTGTACACTTGCAGAATACATAGACAACCCTTTTTGGTTTCAGCTATAGGAACAACTAAACACATCCCTTATTATTGAGTGAATGTTTTTACACAGGCAAAGTACAGGTAGTCCTCGACTTACGACACAATTGGGACTGGAACTTCTGTCGCTAAGCAGTGTGGTCGTTAAGTGAGTTGCATCAAATTTTACCACCTTTTTGCCACAGTCGTTAAATGAATCATGAAGTCGTTAAGTGAATCCAGCTTCCCCCATTGACTTTGCTTGTCAGAAGCCCTCTGGGAAGGTTGCAAATGGTGACCCTCGGGGCCCTGCAACATTGTAAATACAGTACATGCTGGTTGCCAAGCACTCAAATTTTGATCACGCGACCACGGGGATGCTACGATGTTTGCAAGTGTGAGGACAGGTCATAAGTCACTTTTTGCAGCATTGTTGTAACTTGGAACGGTTGTTAAATGAATGGACATAAGTCAAGGGCATTTTGTAGCAGGAAAGGGAAGGCAAGCAAGAATTAAGACTGCGGCAGGATCCTGCCACAAATCAAAAGGTTCCCCCTGCAAGCCTGCAATTAGCCGTGGCACATAATTTCATGCTCACTGCACTGCCCCGAGGGTGCCCTTTGGACGCACCGATGTTCTCCTTCCCGCAGATCTTGCATTTTGCTCGCTATAAACACGACTGTTAATAACTCATTAAGGGTTCCTGTCTCTGCAGCTTCTTCACCGAAGGGAAGTCGATGAAATTTTCCAAAGGGCAAATTCTTTCCCCCGCCTGGCTCCTCAATCACCATCTTGCTCCTGGCTGCTTCCTCCTCTTCCCCATCCCTGGCCCTCCGCCTCGGTTGACCGCTCACCATCAGGACTCTTGACCCGCTCTGGGGCACAGGAGCTGCACTGGCCAGTCTCGAGACTGAAGACTCTGTCGGCCCCACATTTGTCAGGGAGGACTGGGGGGGGAGGCGGGTTCCCTAGACGCGGCGTGGAGCACCGCAGGGGATTCAGGAACAGCAGGAAAAGGAGGGCGCAGGTCTTCAGAGCTGGCATGTTGGAGGGAACTGGCACAACGGGGCTGAGCGCATCCCACTCCCCAAGGCGATTCCTCTGTGGGACGAGAAGATCAGGACGGCCTGCCCGAGGCAGAGAATCGGCTTATGTGTAGAGCCAGGTGTATCCGTAGTAACCAAACACAGGTGTGGCTTCTCAGGAGCTGGAGAGAGGTCTCCGGCTTCTCACCTGCAGCTCTAACGCGTCAGCACCCACTCCCGGAGCCAACGCAGGAGGTCACCTCGGCTTGAGACAGGGTAGGAAAAGTAGGCGCCCGACCTGTTGTTCAACTCCGGTGCCAATTCCACACGGAGAGGAGTAATGCGATATATGGGTTTGACGATGAGAAAGGGTAGATTATGGAAAGGAGGGAGCCGTGGTGTCACCTTAGCCAGAGAGGATAAAATTCGAACGCCTTTATAACCGCTGTCAGGAAGATCGGAAGCCACCTCTTTATCTTTTCCTCCTCTCCTTTCTCTTTCGTTTTTTTTCCCCCCTCACCACTTGTCTTTTTCTTTCCCTTATCCTTTTTTCTTTAAATGTTTTTATTCTGCAAAGATTTCTTTCATAACGATTAATTTATGCAACGGAGAGCTTGAATCAGTTTTTGCAGAATAGGATCCTACAGGATAGGATCACCTAAGGTTGCGAGTTTAGCTGATTTCTCTTAGGCGTTTCCCGGTGGCATTGTGCACGTGCTTTAGGCAGTTTCATTCAGCCACAGCCTTCTGCCCATCCCGGGGGGGGCGGGGCTGCGCTCTTCCACTTGCAAAGGATGCTAGGAGAGAATAGACCCCCCCCCCACTTCACAAGGGAAAAAAAATCAGCTTTGCAAATGCCCACAAATAGCATGGAAAGTCTACCCGAGAAACCACTTATGACCTATGTAACGGAAAGGCAACTCATTAAGAATATTTATTCCGTCTCTAATCCACTCAATATAATCTGAAAAAAAGAAAAAACTCCCCAATAAAGTGCATTAATAAACAGCACAAGGAAGATAAAAACACATAAAAGCAACTCTCCTGGGGCAAAGAAGTTTAGGATGAAAAGTAAGGATGAAAGTGTCAGAAAGGAGAATCTGTGTGTTAAAAATACATTACTTGGAGCACGAGGCAGACCTCTGTAGGAAAAGGGTTTTACGGCCTCCTGCTTAGCTTTGCTTGGAAATCACAGGGTTTCAGTAAAAGAGGCAGAGACACGGGATTCCTCTTTTGCTGCTGGCTGGGAATCTCTTTGGAAAGGGATCTGAAAGATGACGATGCAGTGGGTGACTCTTAATCCAAATGTATTTCATCTAGAAGAGACAAGGAGAGAATAGCACGGCAGACGGGACCTGGAACAAACACGAGCTGGGTGGGGAAAAGAGTGAGGGCATGGTTCCGTGTCTTTATTTAAGCTTTATTTTATCTGCCCTGGTCCTGTCGTGACCAGAACTTGAAATTTTTCAGTACATAAGTTAAAAACAACAATATTCCACAAAGGACAGGAAGTCGCACTCTTGCGACAGGGCACACAGAACTGCACCCAATACAGCAGGACATGGTGGCATGAAATATTCAAAACAACAGAACATGGATGAATCTCTCTCTCTCTCTCTCTCTCGCTTTCTCTCTCGATATATATATATATATATATATATAAATATATATTAAACAACCAAATACAGCATTTTAAAAACTCCAGTGAAACTCACAAGAAGGAGATGCCTGGTTGGGGCACCTCAGATTTACAATCATATGATATGCAATTCTGGGCTTTCACTTTTTAAAAGGGTAGACAAGAGAAGAAGGTCCTGAAATTACATATTTAGCAACCCCCCCCCCCACACACACACACAAAAGGATCTGTTGCAGACCTCTCTCTCTTTCCCTTCCAAGAAGGAAAGTTACTTTAAACTTTTCATTGCAATTACCTCCCCGCCCCTTAAAGCAAACCTCAGAAATGCAAGAAAACATCTGGATCCAAGTCTTTGCATTCCATGAAACACAGACTAGCCTCCTCATTCATGTTGGCTCAGTCCTGCTCTCCATCTCCTCCACTTTAAAAAAAAAAAGTTCAAGATTTAACAGTGGAGTGGAGAAGAAAAAATTCACATGAGCACAATTTACAAGAGTCCTGGAAAGATTAAGGTATAAAAGGAGACCGGACAATATGCATAACAGGAACGTAACCACTGCAGCCTTCGTGGAACAGAGACCACATCCTGCGGGAACCCGGGAGAAATCCATGCAAAGCCATCTTTAAATCCTACCCCGTGTTTTCAATTGCCTACAAGAGGGAATTGGGTTTCAATGACATTTTGCCCACTGTGAAACACCTTGGCCAATCCCCAGATGTTGGTCCATCCCTTGACACTTTTTTTCACTCTGCGTTAAGCCGATGCAAGCCTGCAGTGAGAGTTTTACGTCTTCCCCGAGGGCAAAGTGGAAGAAAAGCAGAACTAGAAAAATCAGCGGCAGCCCCTCCAGATGTGGTGGTTTGGGCTTCCTCCACTGGATTAAGAACAGCAAAAGCCAATGTTGCAGAATGCTTCCAGGCTGAGCCTCCTCCAGATGCCTACGGTAGCTTCAAAACGCTCGATTTTCAACCGGGGTTGAAGCAAAACTTTAAACAGAAGCTGCTACTGGCAGAGGACGTGCTGCTAAACGCAGCCAGCTGCTTGCTTTGGAAACCACCAGAAAAGGATCTGGTTAACAAGTGGAAATGTAAGAGGATTTCACAAGTGGAATGTCCAAAAACTCTATCAATAGAAGTCCCAATCGCTTCCAGCTTCAGCTATTGGACAGATTCAAGCTGAGCAGCCACCGTCTCTGAGCCAGAACTCTTCCTTGAAACCCAGAGGAGGAAGCCTGCCAAAAACCATTCTCTCGGCCCCCTCTCCTGGTGACAAAGGGGACTGCAGGGGCTCAAAATTTGCACGGCCTGCAAGATTTAAGATGCAGAGCTCGCTGTCGTCCCTGAATAGCCCAGATTAAAAGGGAGAAAGAGAGCCCTGAATTTTCCTATTGTCTCTGTCAATCAACCAACAGCTCGCTAGCAGCTCGGTCTTTTCCCGGAGAATGAGAAACCAGGATCCATCCAGCAACACAAGGCAAATGTTGAAAACCATCCACTGGGCTACCCCGCCAAAAGGCAATCCCCCCAACATCAACCTGCCTTTAAAAACACACCCACACCCCAGCTACAAAACCAGCAGCTGGAGGACCATCAAAGGTACCAGGGGCAGCACGGAGGAAACTTCTCCAAACAGGACGTTGAAAAGAATATTTTGGTCCCCCCAAGATGGCTTCAAGTTCATGAATGGTGGAAATCGGGCAGCACCCCACAGAAAATCCCCACCAACTTCACACGGACCAACTGGGCAAAGACTCCAGACGTTGGCCAACCAGACAGACGGGATGTGGCAATCAACTCACGTCAGCCAGGCTGTTGGGCTTGTTCTTGTATACTCCAGGAAAAAGCCTCCCCTCCTCCAGAGATCTCTACCACGTTCCTGGTTTTATCAGAACGGTTGCCTTGAAACCACACAGGAGGACCAGAACTGCTCCAGGGAAGCAAGAATCTGGGTTGGCTTGCACAACAAAACTACAAACCTCAGCTACTCCTCTTTCCCTGCCTACCTTTTAAATATTTTTCTCCCCCCAACAGGATGATTTGTCCCAAGCCTCCTGGGTCTACAAATGCCTTGCTTTTCTCTAGGATTAGCAGCTTTGCAGAAAAATCCAAAGATTCTCTCTGCCTTTCCATTCCACTGTGACGCGTGCGCACATCTTCTTTTATCTTTCACGGCTGTTGGCCTCTTAAAATATTCTGCAGTAATACATGGAGGGTTGTTTCAGCCCGCCATAAAAGGCGCAGCGGTCCTCCTCCCCAATTACTCCCCCTGCCTCGCATGGAGGAATTTCCCCCAAACGCTCCAAAGCCAGTGCTTTCATGCAAAAAGGCCTCAGATCAGGAGTTGGCGGAAGAGGCTGGGTGTCCTTGAGGCTGCCAAAGAGGACGGACGTCTTTTGATTGAGGAGCTCTACATCTACAAGCTGCTTAGCACAGCACTACACGGTTTAACAGCTATCATGCAGGATTATTGCAGAGTCTGTGGGGTGTCTGTTGGCTTAAAAGCCCATCTGAAGTCTCAGACAGACAGTCCCGGAGATGGGTTTTTACAGCCTTTCGCCTCCGCCGGCCTCCCCTCTCAATCCTGGTCATGGCAAAGCAGGTTGTGGGGCTATTCGGCAGCCATTTGTTCAATGTGGTCACTCAGGAGCTTGTACTGCTCTGAAAAGAGACACAAAGGAGAAGCAGCTGAGTGTTCTTCAGAGACAGGCTAAATCAGGTCAAGCCAGCCGCGGCGAGAAACGCTCTGTGCTCCAGATCAGCAGGAACTGTTCCACCCCAAAGGCGTTGATCTCCCCCAACCTGACCCCCTCCAAGGTGCTAGACTTTTGACTCCCTCCGCCTTAAGCCCTCTTGGAAGAGGAAGGAACAAAAGGGGTCCACCCCATCTATCACCAGCCTTGCACAAATGGCAAATTGCCCATTTGTCAGTGAGCACCTTTTCCAATTCCTGCCAAAATATTCTGGGCCATTTCTGCAGATTCCTGATGTCAAAGCTGGTGTCCTCCAGAGGCCTGGACTACAACTCTTATCAGCTTCAGTTAGGATGTGAAGGATGGGGGGCAGCAGGCAGGAAGGCTGGTCCAAGCCAAAGCAAAGGGCTAAAATGGGGGCATCTAAATCCCCAGAGAGAACGCCCTCTTCTTCTTATCCCCCCTTCCTTTGCCCCAAGAAGTCTCCTGCTTTAGCTAAGACCCCTAGACACCCCCCCATGCCTGCCCCTACCTTCGTCCAGGTTGCCAATCACGGCCTGCTTCTTCAAGAAGTCGTTGCAAAGTTTCTTGTTCAGCCCAAAAGCCAGCATGTTGTGAGTGAAAGTTCTGCATCAAGGAGAGTAAAGAGTCAGAAGTCAGGACAGACCAGAGAACTGGCCGTGGGGTTGCTGGTTCAACCAGCTGAAGGGAACTTGGGGAACAAGCGCCAGAAACAGCTTTGCCTGAGACCCCGAAGAAGCAACATTGGGCTGGACTGATGGAGAACCTAGCCCTGAGTAGCGCGCTCTCCTGTAATACTTCCTACACAGAAAGGGACAGGGCAATTCACACACCACGCCTGGCATTTCAGCGCACTTGGAAACCCCTTATGTGCTGAAGACTGTGCATGCAGCCTTTTCCCCTCGTAGATTGCACACTGAGGTCATGGAAGTCAAGAGGAAGCCATGCGGTCCCAGCCACGGCGGGGCCACACAGCCTGTGAAGTCAAGGATCAGTGATGACCTCCAGCTACATTTCTGCTGCCCTTAAAGCATGCTCAGAGTTCACCCCTTCAATTCTCCCCAGGCAAAACAGGACAGCAATTTAAGCCCTGCCTCCTCAGTGACATCAATCCATCACCAACCACACCACCACCGGTGGCCCCTGGAGGTTAATTTAAAAAAGAAAAAGAACAACACGAAGTCAGCTGGGGAGTCAAAACATTGACCACCCCTGCACCGTGGGGCTTATGTTGTCACTAGTCCCCAAAATAAATCCATAAGGTAGGCAGTGGTGAGACTTCAAGGAGATCTTCCTAGTTCACTCTTGGTTTGCAGCTGCGAGCCATACCCGGCCCTCAGCTGAACGCAAGCCCACGCCTCCCATGGGCACACGGTGTATATTTATTTCAAAACGCGACAGTCCTGATTTGACTTGTATTAGCGCAGGTGACTCAAGCCCTCTGGTACTCGTGCTGGGGATCCAGACCAAGCTTTTCCAATCTGGATGCTTTCCAGGGACGTGCAGTTCCCATTCCTGGGATTATCAGAATCCAAGTCTAGGCCTCCAGAAGTCCAAACCAGCGGGAGGCTAGCATAGACCATACGAGAACGTGCCGTGCCAATGGCACATGGCATTTGGTAGGCTGGGTATGGGAACACCTTAGGAAGGCATAGGATTTCCAGTAGGATTTATGGCAGGCATTTGAAGGAGAATTACTTTCTTAAGAAAAATGGGGGGGAGGGGAAGAAAGCAATCTTTGAAGGCTGAGAAAGTTCACCTTGCTTTACTCGTTTTAAAATACTGCTGTTTTTTGCACTTACCCCAGCTGTCCGAAGGTGATATTCTCGTTAAAACGGAGGCTGTCATTCCGTTCTTCTTGAGTCATGTGGCACCACTTCTCCCTGCAAGCACAGGGGGGGGATCATGTAACCAGGAATCATGTGCAATCAATAGGCGCAACGTCCGTCAAAAACGGCAGGAGTTGATGGGAGCAAGGTAGAAGGGCGGCTGCCTGTTTTCCCATATTAGCTCCCGGCTGCGGGAACCCCTTGGCAGATGTCTCTAAGCCAGCTTCGCTAGGTGGGCTGCCTGTCGCCAATTTCAGATTCTATATTAGAGCCTGTGTCGCTGCGGGAAGCCCAAAGATGGATTTTAAATAAGCCTCTTTTCCATCCGTGGATTGGATCTGTGTTTATTTAGCTGTTTAGATTCCTCCTTCAAAGAAAGCTAAACATTACAAACCGGTATGTTTCTTAAGGAGGTTATCTCAGTTGCCACCCTAATCATGATTACTGTGACACTTCCAGCTCTTACAAGTCATCTGTTGTGTGGTCTGCAGGAAAGGAGAAAGCCAAACACACAGCAAGAGGTGAGGAATGGGGTGGAGAGGAGAGTGTTTTAAAAGAAAACCCCAAACCCAAAATCTAAGGTTTACTAAGCTCTACCTTTCATCTCATCACCGGATCAAAATGTTAGTTTTAAATCTGGGCTACAACGGTCTAGAGTTAAATGTTCTGGGATTGGCCAAGTTCTTGCTGTTTATCTTTATACCAACCCTGAAAAAAGTTGGTGAGCCCAAGGTGACCATTTCACAGAAAGGAGAGCCCAGGTTCCCCCAGAGGCCAAAGGAGACAGGAGTAGCCCGCAGCAGAGACCAGGTGGACAGGCACACGCCTCATCCTAAAAGTCCAGTGGGTTGTTCTCAGAAATGAGTAAAAAGGTTTCCAAAAAGAGAAATGAAAATAGTGCAGAGCTGAGGGGCTCTAGGCTGATGTGAAGACAGGGAGGGCACATGAATTTGGTAACCCAAGTGGGCTGTTGGATCAGCTTCCACAACCTTCTCCATCCGCATCTGCTCCAGGCAGCCTGGGACAATAACCCCCAGAATTCCATGGGCCATGCTGGTTGGAATTCTGGGAATTTCGGCCCTGAGTTTTGGGAGAGCACAAGGCGCCAAATCCTTGCCGTTCCAGATGAATCAGGTTCCTTCAAATTCCACAGAAGGTAAAGGAGTGTAAATGTTTCAGACCAATGCACCTTCTGGTCCAACATCCTACCGACTCAGACATTTAAGGAGTTCGTAACAGAAGGTCAGTTAACTTCACCATTACCCTTTCTATATACCCCAGCATACCGGACACCCCTAGCAGTATATCTGTCCTAATACAGTACATAAATTTACCTAGCAATTTAATTCCCACGTTGCCTCCTCCGCTGCTAGAACTTCTAATGGCGCTGAATTCCAAAGGTCAACTCATTCATTCAGAAAGAATGAATCGAGGATGCATGTGGGACATGCTATATTGCATTCGCAAGGCGCACACCCCTCTGCTCACTTCTAACAATGTCAAGAGGCGGACACATTTTAAAAAGGGAAATGCATAGGACGAAGGTGGTGGAGGAAAAGCTGCTGAAAGAAATTAAGGGATGCAAAATGAATTGCAACGTTTGTTCTTCTACGCTGAAAAGAGAATCAGATTGCACGAAGGAAAATAAAATGTTGGTATAAGGATTTCATGGCAGGAGACGCGTGGATGTCGTTCTCAGTTATTCCCTGTAGGACACAGGACTTTTCATTTCATTTTTATTTACAGCTCTTGACCAATAAAGGAAGCCACCTTTTGTCTTGGGTAATCATTTCCAATCCTCATGCACAACTTGAGGGAATCGTTACCTTTACCTTATTAGCTGCGTGCAAAACATTTCAAGTCCGAAGTGCCCCATTTGGGACACGGAACAGCGGTTTCGAGTTCAAAACAGGCTGTTCTGATCGTTTGGGAACAGTCTGATGCTCACCGTGACGCCTTGCTTTGACTTCAAATGCAACATTCTCATGAGTGTATTTTCAAGCTTGGAATGGTTTGAAATTAAAAGCCTCTTGCACACCCTTCACGGGAGATTGGCTGACCTATACTGATCTTACAGAGAAGAAGAGCTTCCCTAGAAACTGACGCTGTCTGCAATTTCTCCGGCTTTGGCCAGAAGGGGACCAGAGCAGGCAGGCAGTTGCAGCTGGATCTCCTGCATTTCAAGGCTTCGCATCGTGGAATAGCCTCCTGGCCCCGTTCTGAGCAAGTAGAGGACGTGCCTCAGAGACCGTGTGTGCAAGGCCTCTAGCACGACTGGCCTGGGTACAGTCAGGACAAAACACAAGTAAGGGGGGGAAACACACACTGTTGTCATCGGGGGAGAGAGAGAACTTACTAAGAAGAGGAGATATTTAAAGTCCAGACAGTTACAGAGGAATGGAAAGGGAGGGAGAGACAGAATATGCCAGCCAGACAGCGTTCACCAGATGCGCTCAAAAGCAAAAGGAAAGAAAGAGAAGGGGAAGCTCAAACACTCATCACTTTAGAACTTCTTACAGACTCAGAACAGCCGCCTTCCAAAAACTTACCCGTTGCCGACACACAGACCTGGCAAAACCAAATTAACCTAAACGTGACTCTGCGCTATGATGTCTTACGGGGACGGAAACGTCAGTGCCCATTCGGCGGAATATGAACGCCGCTCAACCTACTTTTTTTTTTTTTTTAATAAACTGTGGCAGGGAAACAAAACACGGGCTACTGTTTTTAAAGACGATCCAAATGTAGTTTAAGGAAGGCCTTCCCGCCCATCGGTTTAGCGTGCAAATTTCTTTCGTTTAATCCAATTTCTCTGGCAGGTTTCCGACGCAATGCAAAGAGGCGAAGTTGGGGCAGGACGCAGCGCGTGCTCCAAGTGCTTTTGCTCGCTTAAAGATGCTTCTTTGAGAAGCTTGCAGGACTGGTCTTCTCTGAGCTTGGTCCTAGAGAGAGGCCTGCCCGCAGGAATAAAACGGGCAGCCTCACCAACGGACAAGTCCTGTAGTTTGGCTGTGGCGGGCAACAGAGGATTTCTCCTCCCTGCTGGCGGGAGGCAAATTTTTGGACTGGCGTAACCATTTAGAAAAAAGAAGGGAAGAAAGTAAAGGTGGACAGACACACCTCTTTTCCTCTTCCTCCCCAGTATTTCCTCTGGAGTGGCAGCAGGAAGGGCCAACAGAAGTCACATGGAAAGGTCATGCAAGAAGGATGGATGGATGGAAGAAAAGAAGGAACGGGCGGAAAAAATGAACAACAACAAAAGATTACAGACGTTGAGAAAGAGAGAGAGAGAGAGAGAGAGAGAATTAGTTCTTTTCAGCCCCCCCACAACACAGTCCGAGAGCGAAGGTCCTTCCCACCAGTCTCCCCCTTCTCCGCAGCGTTCGCACGGGGGCACTCTTGCTCCTCGACAAAGCACTTCCGAATCCAAAATCCAAAGAGGAGCATCCGAAACGGGCTCGCCCTCAAACGAACGGAAGGAGCGCAACTCGAGCGGGCCATCTTGGCGAGGGGGTGAAAAGTGCCGAAGGAACGCGGGTCCTTCCCTCCACCTGGCATTTCCTCCCCTCGCCCCCCTCCAGGGTCAAGAGGCGGACCCGAAGCCCCTACCTGGTGGTGGGAGACCGTTTCCGCCTCTCGCAGTGGACGGCATCGAAGAAAGCCGCGTTCCAGAACCTCAGGGTGTGCCTGCAGAACCGGGATGAAGAGGCAGCTGGAGTGGGGAGGCCGGTGCCCACGGCGGGCTGGGGCTGTGGGGGCTGGAGGGGCACCGCGCTGAGGGGTGACAGGAGAGAGGCGGGCTGCTCCCGGGGCCATGGCCACCCCGCCACCCCCCGGGGTCTGAGCAGGCTTACCAGATGGGCTGCTGCTTGAGGTGCATGTACAGGTAGATCTTCTCCCCACTTCTTTCCTCCTCCTCCTCCTCTGGGCTGTACAGGGAAACTGTGCAGAAAGGGGCATTCAGATGGAGGAAGTCCTGGGCGGGCAGACCCGCTCCACACCCTGCTCGAGAGAGACCCCCGAGGCGGCTCAGCAAGGCACCGAGCGCCCGCCCGTTGGTGGACCTGCTTACCCGATTTCTGCATCCGCTCCCTCGGCTTTTCTTCGCCATCCCTAGGAGCAACAGCACAGGCAGGATTCAGCCCAGCAGAGGGGCAACCCCCCGCCCGGAGGGCTCTCAGCCCGACCAAGGGCAGCCGGCCTTCGGCTGAACGTCCCCAAGGACAACCGTCTACCACTTCCACGTAGCCGGTTCCGCTGCCAAACCGCGTCCAGCGCTATGAAGTCTCTCCCGATGCTCGGCCAAGCCCTGCCTTCCTGCCAGTTCCACCCCCTGCTTTTTGGAATCACAGGAGACACCCCTGTTCTTCTGGACAGCCCCCCCCTTTTACCAACCCGATGCCGCCCCTCTTCTCTTCCCCAGGACCAGCTTACAAGCGGTCAGCAGGTGGGTGGGTCGGGGACTCACTCGTTCTTCCTGGCCCCGCTGGGCCCCCGCAGCTTGCTTTCGAAGCTCCCAAAAAACCCTTTCATGTTCTCCGTCTTGGCCGACGTGTTTTTCAGCAGCCGCTCCGCGATGTCTTTCTTCTCGGCCAGCCAGCTGTTGGCAGACTTCAGGTAGGAGTCGATGCTGCCGGTGGCCTTCTCCTTGGACTCCAGGGGGAGCGTCTGGGGCTTACCTACCCAAAGACAAGAACACCAAGGGGGAAAGAAACAAACGGCTTAACCCGGTGTTTCTCCAACTTGGCAACTTTAAGAGACCAGGTGGACTTCAACTCCCGGAATTCCCTAGCCAGCATGGGTTATCCCATCCCCGATCCCCCGCTTCTTTTCTTTTTAAAACGAAAACCAAGTTACTGGTCCACACGGCTACCTACACGGCAGCCTACAAATAAAAGAGAGAGAGCGGCAGGAAACCTAAAAGCAACCCCCCAAAACCTACACTTCATTCTTCTTTTCAGTCTCCTGTGTTTCTGAGAGCATATGTTATTTTTTATTTTACCTCCTCTTTTTTTACCCCAGTTTTTTTTTTTTTAATTTGTTTTCTTCTTTTGCACATTTGGAAAATAACAGCCCAGCGAAGTGCTGTAAGAACCCAAAAGCTTGCTCATCTTTCTATGATGTCATGCTTGGTCCTCATAAACCTGTTCCCTGGAATGTGGATGTTCAGGGGTTGGAAGTTTGGGGCTGGACGCCCCCAGGACATCTGGAGGACATCGGATTGGCAGAACCACTTGAACACCAAAGTGCACTAAATTGCCTTTGGCACTCACCCCTCTTGGCATCATTTGCTACTGGCAAGCCAGGAAAATTTATTTATTTATGTATTTAAAAAATTTAGAGGCTGCCCGTCTCCAAAGTGACTCTGGGCAGCTTACATTAAAAATAGGGAACGGTAAAAAAGAAAAACTCCTTCAAATAGAGAACGTAACTGCCAGGTCTCCACAGACACCCCACCCCAAGACCTGGGAGACCAGGCAAGGATTTACAGACGTTGGGAACGGCGATGTGGTGGGAGCTACACAGATCTCTGCAGAAAACGCAAAAAGGATTCCTTGTTCTTATAAAAATACTTTCTCATAAACCTGTTCCCTGGAATGCGGATGTTCAGGGGTTGGAAATTTGGGGCTGGATGCCCCCAGGACACCTGGAGGACACTGGAATGGCAGAACCACTCGAACACCCCGGATTCGGCTTTTGCGGCACTTACCGATGTGGTAATACGTAAAGCACATTGTCATCAGGTTCTTAGCAGGACTGAAGTCGTCCATCTGGTAGCATCTAAAAAGCCACAGCGAAAAGTCAGTGAAACGGGGGACAACAAGGAAGCCCCAGCTCAGCACGGCTAAACATCGAGGGTCTGCGAGAGGCTGGGGGCCGGAGAGAAAATGGAGCGTGACTCACTCGAAGAGCACCACGGCAAAGGATTGCACCAGGCGATAGAAAGTCTGCTCCGAGACACACTTGGAATTGCAGCGCTGTGGAGGAACCGACACGGACAGAGTCAGGTCGCTCCTCCTGCACCTGGGAAGGGGCGCGAGCCCCCTTGCCTTGCTTTCGCTAGGAAACACGCTGCCCTTCTTGCACCCTGGGGGCGACAGGCGTTTGTACAGCTCTTACGTGCATTTATTCTGATATAGTCCTGCCCCACGTACATGGTTAGCAGCCGCTCCGAAAAGGGGACTGTGGAACTGAGGCAGGGCCCACCAACGAACCCGGAGCCACAGGCACAGCGTGCCGCTCTTCTCCAAGGTGCACGGAGATAGCTCTCCGCCCCACAAGGGTCAAAGCTCTGCGTGGCGCAATTTAAGAAGAAGAGAAGGAGCAGCCCAGCCAGGGGCGCAATGGTGCAAATCGCGCTCCTGTCTGAATCAGGAAAATTGTTTTTCTGCAAGCGGTTTCCATCAAGGTGTATCAGGATGGTAGACTCTACCTTCCCATGGAGGTTCACAGGGACTCTTAACAATCCTAAAAGACGTTTCGGAGCATGCTGGAACTGCACGGGCCTGACAACATCAGGAACGTCCCCCCAAGATCTGTTTTATCCTAAAGACTTCCTTACCTGGGCACTGACGTATCTGGCGAACCATTCCCTGCCTTTCGTGTTCTCGCCACTGCACAGCTCCCCAAATTTGGCTTTTTCCTCTTGGTCAAACTCCTCCCTGGAATCACACACACACACACACACACACACAATCACATTCTGCACAAAGATAAGTATATACTTCGACGGTCAAGAGGATGCGGCAGCAACCTCGTGCAGTGTTATCTGCCAAGGTAAATAAATATGTTTTCAACAGGCACCAAAGCAGGGACAAAGTTGGCTACAGTTATTGATCGTCAGTGTGAATTCCCAGCTCTTAAAAACCCAGGTGCACAAAAGCAGCCCCTGTCCAGTGAATTTTATTTATTACATTTATACGCTGCCGTAATTCCACGGATTCCCTGTGGTTTGCATGCAATGCATTCAGAAAATCTAAAAAATCCGTAGTGATTTTAATGTAATATATAAAGATAAGTTAACTCAGTTAAAATGGAGCAAACAACCGTAAGCCTGCATTAGAGGCACAGGCGGCGGCAGGCCTCCTTACTCCCCCAGATGCCCTCCAGAACATCTCTCTCTTCTGGGACACGACCAGGTGGCTAATCTGGCTTCTAGTGGGAGGCTGTTCATAGGCTGGGTGCCATTACTACAGAAAAATCAGGACCTCTGGGGCTCTGCCTTCGCTCTTCCCCAACAACATCTCACACAAGTGAAGAGCCTTCACTATTTCTCTTGGTGAGTCTGCTTGATGTTGGGTTGATGTTGATGTTGATGCTGGTCGGGTTGATGTTGGTCGGAGGACATGGTCCTATGCCCAACCATATAGGACTTTTGGTTAAAACCAACACTTTGAATTGCACCTGGGAATCCTTGGGGCACCGATCAGGGCCTACAGCACACGTGTAATGTGCTTCCAGCAACAGATACTGGACAATATGTGGGATCCTGCACTCTGCACATGTTGCAGTTTTCAGGTGGTCTTCCAAGGCCACCTGGTGGGAGATGGCATCATCAAGACCTACTTTATGGGGTTGTCTGAGACGTCCAAACGAGGATGGAATCTGAGACGTCTGGTGCAAACTGGGTGGCTCATCCTCTGAGCTACAGGCTGGCCAGGGCTCCTGAACTTGCCAGGACAGTGGCATTTCCAGGGCCACGGTTAATAGTCATGGGTGCAGTGGCTATCCACATTATGCAGAAGCGACTTTGAGGCTGTTCCTCTCCAGGAGGAACACAGAAGTCTCTAGGCCTTGGGATCTGCCAAGTCTAGGACTGTCCACCGTGGAAAAGATGATGATGGGTGAATTCATATCCCCAGAACATAAACTGAAAATCCTTGTTTGTTTCTATTGTCCTTTAGAAAGATCTGGCTGGGTCAAAATACATATGCAGACATCTTTCCTCTCCAGGCATCGCCCTGGCCCAGCGAGCTTGCAGGACATATTTCATTATCTCTGTAATGTCTGTTTTTTATAACTTTTAATTGTATTTCTGATTTTAGTTTCTTGTAAGCCGCCCAGAGTCCCCCCGTTGTGGGGAGATGGGCGGGGACAAGTCTATTAAATAAATAAAAAATAAATAAATATTTGGCTTCCAAATTCATTGGTTAAAACTGCAGCTCTCTCCTATGTCTTCAGTTGCTTGACATAAATTGAGGAATTAAGTGTCTTATCCATGGAGGCAGGATGTTGAAGCACCAGGTGGAGAAACATTCCCTTGGGCTACTGTAGCCCTGCTACCCAATCCATTCTTTCACAATGGCCATTAAAAGGTTTGCTCCAAAACACGGCCCCTTTCCCCCTTTTGCAGAGGAAATGCAAACCCCCATTGACGTGGCATCCGACTGCAAGTTGCAGAGGGAATATTCTCCGCAGCTCCAGAACCCAGTCAGGCCAGGCCTCCTTTCCTCGTTGCTCCGATTAAATCACATTGATTCGGGCCACGGTGACTCAGAGCGCTGCAAGCTTGCTGAAAGTCAGCGGAATGCTTTCTATCTGAGCCAACGTCAGCGGCTTGCGGGAGGTGCAGAATCGGCCCTCCAGCCATCTCCCAAACCTTCAGGCAGGAACAGTTAAGTGTTAAGTGAAGAGAAGTGGGACCCAGCCCTGAGATACGGCAATCTCCAAGGAGAAAGAGAAGAGACGGTTACTTTCTTTCTGGGGTGGAAGGCGGGTCCCGCAGAGGAGAACCCTCCGTGCATCATCCTGGCCATAAACAAGGAGTGTCTTTTTCCAGCCCACTGAAAATCCCCAAGGCCTCGGGGTTATGCAATGTTTCCTCTGCATACGTTTCAAAAACAGGTTCTTCTCCTCCTCCTCCTCCTCCAGAAAGGAGGTCCTGCCTCCATGGCTAGCATTTCCCAAGCCAATCATCGAAATGCTCCCCTCTCGCTTCGCCTGTCAGACTCGGTCGAATCTTCTGCCCGCCCAGAAGCCCAACTGTGATCAACACAAAGGTCTGGCTGCCGGGGCCACGTGGCTGGCGACACGTGGTGGACCCCCCATGCGCCTCCATTGTGCTGCACCTGGCATGAGAAAACTGCCTGCGGTTTGGCAATGCCAGGCCCAGGTGTTGTAGCAGTCCAGGTACAAAAGAGGCCCCCTGAGGACCGTTTGGGTTTTATGCCGCACTGCCCCGTTTCCCCAACCTGAATCCAGTGCAAGAGAACATCAAATAAGCCCCTTCTACTGCTGGCAGTGACAGGGGGAGCGTGTCAGAGGCAGAAGATGAGCAAGGAACATGCTGCTTGAACACATGTGAAAACAGAAGCCAGCGGTTCAATTCTTTCATGTGAAATGAGCGACCGACAGCCATTCTCGACCAACTCTTCTGCCTAAAGAGGAAGATGGGTAAATGCTGATACTCGAGATGACCTGTTTGCTTCAGTTTGGTATGGCTGGCCACTCTGGAAACCAAACTAAAATTAGACATCAAAACATCCACCCAAACATCTCCTAATACATCACACCTGGAGCAGTGCACATACCAAGATCAACCACCTTAAGGGGCTCACTTCACATCCGGGCTTAATGTTTGGGGGGAAAGCCAACTTTTTAACATCCTACAGAAGGGTCAGGGCCATCTGGACTTGGGGAACGGCCTCCCTTTAGAGGAAAGGAAAACTGAGTTGTCACTGAGTTGCAGGCAAAGGGGCACGAACCCTGAAGCCCATGTACAGAGGAACTGGAATGAGAGCGGAGGAGGAAAATCAAGATGGCTGGGGGCCAAGGGAGAACCTGGGGCTATGATTTCAGCCTGGAAGGCCACCTGGCAGGACTGGCTATTTGACAATGGAGCAAACTGTCCGGAGCTAGGATGTCAGACGTGGACGCCATTTTTGCACATAACAGCAGCTATAAGAATTGGCAGAGCGAAGTTGCAAGGGCAGGACTCCCATCACCCCCCCACCCATCCCTTCCACGACTCCACGGGTGCTCCAACACTCACCCGCCCGTGAAGATCTTCTCCACATATTGACTCATGAACTCCCGGTGTTCGGCCATGACTTCTCCCCGAGCTGACTCTGTGCTCTGGTTGGACGAGTAGGACTCGGAGGAAGAACGGCGAAGGTTGTTCCAGCTGTGATGGGTGGGCGAGTCTGTGGTGTCGTTCTCACTATCGGCGGACTCTGTGGCATCACTCTCCTCAGGAGCAGGGCCCGCATTGCAGTGATCCAGTAAGCCGTGGCCATTGGCGGTTGAGGGGGCGGTGGGGACCGATTCGGAGGTGTCAGTGGTCGACGGTTCCGAGTCAAAGTCAATGAGGTTTCCCACGGGGACATCAACCACCTCCATGGTTCATGGAAAGGCGTGGGCTGAAGACTTTGAATCAAGATGGCGAAGGTCTCAAATCCCCTTCTCAGGGAAAGCTGGAGGCCATCAGGAAGAAGCCAGCGTGGGACTGTCCCAGTTCTAGACAAGGAGTCCTCTTTTGCCCAACGGGCTTGAAGGCATCTGAAAAAAACAACACACCGACCAATTAATTATTGTTAATCATTTACGCCATACAGATATTTACAAGTTCAAGGCAGAATTTGGTACCCAGCCCAGCATTCAGCGTTGCTGGCAGTCAGAAGCGTCGCCCGTTTTAAAAGCTGCTTTTCCAGTCCGCGCTCAACAACTTCCAAGCAGGGCTCCAGGCGTTTGGGCAGCGATCTCCCGTCCCTGGCTGGGTCCAGGCAGACTCCAGAGGCGGCAAAAAAACCCTGCAATTTTGGGATACGGCTCAGATGATGAGGACGACGGCTGCTTTACAGGCTTCTTACTTTGAAAGGAAACAAAGGCCTCTCGATAAAACCAGCAAGCAATTTTCAGCTTTGAAGGTCTCACTCGGCTTATTATTTGGGCAAAAAGTTTTCAGAGCCGCCGGGAGCCCGCCATGTAATACGGCCATCTGAGAATTCAGCCGAAAGATTCTGCATCGAGCACAGCCGTTGCATTCAGATTGAATTACGCCTTTCCCTCTTTAGTAATCTGAACAATCTGGTTTTCACAATACAAAATGCCAGTGGTGCCCCAGAATCCTAAATATTGCATTTACTTTGTTCTTTTAAGTATCGCTTTGGGGTAAGAATTTGAGCTAAGGGGTTATCGTCACTTGTGCCGACAGATTATAGGGAATCTGGCCCAGGACGCATATTTTTATTCCAGTTAAGATTTCCCCTCCCACCCCCAAGAAATACAGGTAAACTGTTCAGTCACTTGGTGAACACCAATAAGCGAAGTTTCACAGGGACTGAACACTCCCTCTGAGGATGGCAAACCTATGTATTTAATGCAATTAAGTCCAAACGGAGAGCATGTTTACAGATAATTAGGCGCAACTTCTTTTAAGGTACTCTTTCTCTTGATCAGGCTCCAACGTGCCACAAATCATTTTCATTTTTTGAAAAAGGTAAAAGCAATTAGAGTTAGAGGAGGAGGAGGAACCTTTCTAAGCCTGCAATTCAGTGAAACAGCATTTCCTCATATAAGCCACCGGTTGGTCTTTCTAAAAGGTTTCTCATCCTTCCATCTAACTCACAACCAATTTTTGAGTGGTTCCCAGACTCTGGGGACATTCCCACCTTACAGAACCTATGAAGACTCAGAAACGAAGGCTTTCCTGTGTCAAGAGCATCAAGGGTTGAGCTTTTTGAGAATCAAAGTGAAGAACCTTTTGCATAAAAGCCCACCCAAGACTTCCAAGGAGGCCCAATAAATCAACCCCAAAGACCTCCATCCTCTTGATATATCTGACATGCTGCTATTCAGGTGAGTGGGTGCAGGTGACTGGGATGGAGAACTCCTGTGCAATGTTTCTGCTGTCTTAGACTGAAGATTTGCTTCAAGGCTCTGAGTCAGAAGAAGGGAGAAATCTCCCAGTCTCGCCCGGATTCTCCTTTGGGGAGACAGAAGAAGGGAGCAGAGAAGGAAATGGTTGCAGTGACAGACGCTGCTTCCAAAACTGCTCCTCTCAGGAGACAAAATCTGAATCCAAGAGATCAATTGGCTTTTGATCCCGAACTGCCTTCTCTATCTTCCTCCAGAGTTGACTTCAAAGGCTCATCGCAAAGATGAAAAGGATTACTCCCGAGTTTTGCCATGCAAGTGGTTTGAACCACCGCAGCAGGAGGGATACGATTATATGGAGCTTGAAATAAGAAGAAACCCAAGAGAAACCCTGGACAGCTCCTGTAGACAGTTCTTGGCAGCCTTTGCTCAAGCCTGTGAAAGCCTGTTGGGACCCGTAAGAGTCAAGGGGTGGAAGAGAAACCAAGCTTTCCAAGGACAGGGAATCAACCCCAGAGATATTTGGATCGACCAACTTTTTGCCTCGGTTAGAAAGTGCACGCTTTGAGGCCACATAACTGCTGTGTGCCCCCCTCCTCTCCCAAAGCTTGGGTAACATCCCAGAGCCCTTCAAAAGTTGCCACAGAAAGGCAATTCTTGATGTCAGAGGAGGACAATCATTACACACCTTTCGGAGTGGGATCCCCAGACCATCATACCGGTCCAAAAACCTCCAGTGATGACAGAGACTCAAAACACACCAAACCATTTCCAACACTGCTAAATAGTTGGAGGTGATGGGAGTTGTAGTCCAACATTTCTGGATGAGGAGGACACTCAGTACTCCTAAAGCAAAGCCCTTTTCCATGTTTTGAAGGCTGAGCTGTGCCTGCATGAAAAGCATCGGTCTCTGCCCTTGGGGACTCCACCCCACAAGACAAAGGGGTCCTGAAACTTAAGAAACCAGATTCTACCTCTCTAACCATAATGGGTGGGGAGGATGGGGGCTGAGATGCAGCCCATTGAGAGAGCCCCAGGCCAGGGGAGGCTGCGAAGTACAACCGATCAATGATTGGAGAGGGAAAAGAACAATGATAAATGCCATCTAGTCTAGATTTTCTTAGATAGAGCACAGACGAAAAACCTCATAAGGATGTCGGATTAATTGATAAGGATTTGTAAATTAGCTGGAACCAGTTCCAGGAGAATGAGGTACAGGATTAAGATGGAGCCAAGGTAGCAAATGTCAGCATGAGGAAAAATATCAAAGAAAGTACATGAATCAGATAGGCTTTTAAAAAAAAATATAGTCCA